ATATCTAATCGATAGCAATTATCACAAATTGCATAATATTTCAGTGTTGATTCATGAGTGCACTTCAATGGTTCACATATTCCTTCCAAAATATTCATTTGGCACATTGCCGACCCATACTTGTGGCTCCGCAGCCTCAATGATTTCCCATGATATATATATATATATATATAAAATTGCCAAAGCACCAAAAAAATAAAGAAAAAAGGGACATTTTTGCCTTTTTCCCATTATTTACATTCCTTGTCTGCTAAAGTCCACTACTGCATTCTGGCTGGCTAGGTGTCGAGAGATGAACGCGGCACGTGGCATCGAGCTATTGGTCGATACTAGCTATCTCCCATGACATAGACACCAAACAAAGAATTTGAACTTTGTGTGAACCAAAAGCCTTTGGTGAAGGTTCTTGTAGGGAGAGGTTTCCTCTTTACAATTTCCTTTTCCTAATGTAGGGAGTTTAAGGTTTATACTTTACATGTACTGCAATTGGCCACCCCAAAATGTGCATTCCTTACTTCACATGCCCTAAAAAAAAAAAAAAAATGAAAAGGTGTGGAGAGCATATACATTTCATACTTCAGATTTTAAGTCCTTAATTGGTTGAAATTCTTTTATTTTTTTTATTTATTTATTTTTTTTTGCTTTACAGCCAAAGTCCATATTCCTCACATGAATTTTCTTTCACACTTGAAAGCTATTTGACCTTAATAATTATTAAGCTATACTTCTGAAAGAGAAATCTCTTAGTGGGTATCCGTATTCACCAAGTATTCGGGCTTTTGCTTTCACATGTAGTTTTCAAATATTCACTATGTAGGGTTTCCAGCCTAAAAATAGAAATACAAAGAAGAAAATTGTTATGCAATACTTTCAAGTTTTGTTTTTTAACTGTTAATACCGATCAAGCTTGATAAATAGGTAGTTTTGCATTTGCTTGTAAATTGTCTTTTAAGTTAAATTTATAACTAATATAAATGTTTAGAGATTTCTCGGAGTTTGCATATAGGCCCCGTTCTTTTCGCTGATTCGAGTTTTGCTACAGTAAAAAGTTCTAAAAAACAGTCACATTTAACTTTTTTACTACAGTAAAAAGCTCTCACACAACATCACATTTCAACTTAAATTAAAAACTCAAATTAATTGTAAACCAAAATTTTCTGAATATTTATGGATTTTAAGTTGGTGAGGGGAACAAAAAAAATGAACCGGTGATTCGGGAGCATAATAAATTATCTCAATCCAAAATTTAACACGGGTTTTGGATTGAATTTTTTTTTAGTAAATATTTTTAAAAGCTCTTAAACAGTAAGAGAAGGTTTACTTTAAAAAAATGGTTTACTTTGATGTAAGATTCTTTACTTTTATGCTTTGAGTTTGAGAAAGGGACAAAAGTTTGGTTGACACTTTTAATCTATCATTTAGTGAACGTTTAATTCATAGATTCAGAATAATTTTTGATTTATGTGTATTTTTTGTGAGAAAAAATACTGTAACGAACTACGAACCATGATTCAAACTATGACACGAATCCTCATACCAAACACTTCATTAATAAGTCCATTTGGCAATGTGGACGCATAGGGCTCACCACACTGAAAGAGAATTTGAATATTTTCATCATATTGGAATACAGAATCCTATCTTTCTTTGTTTCTTTCTTTTACAGCTAATATTATTTTATATATTTTCAAGCTTTCCTCTGAAAGAAAACAATAGCAGGTTTATAATAACTGGCTTGGACATGATCATATATTATATTTTGTATATTTTTTTAACCAAAATATGAAATTAACATAAGATAATTTGGGATAACTAAAAAGAGTTTAAAGTTACTTTCCCTAGTGAAAAAGTGCCAAACATTTTGTCATTCAGATATACTATAGTGAAAATTAATCAGATCTAGCTGTAACTTAATTATAATGAAAATATTCAAATCAAAACCAACTAAGCCATTGCATGGTTTTTTGGCATAAACCAGACATATCTTAGTAGGACTATGAATGGGACTTTTTTTTTTTTTTTAACTAACTTAGCAAACCGAGGAAGGTTTTGGTACAGTTTAGTTAAGATTTTGATCATTAATTTCTTCATAATATTGTTTTATTTGTATTATCTTTCAAAGTGTATGCATAATCTTTTCCTCACTTAGCAACTAAGGAGATTGGAACTAAGAACAGAACATAAATATTATAGCCATGCCTCCAGACCCACACACATCTAAATCAAGTAATGTCAATGATTATTAGACAAAGCTATCATTTATGCCCACATAAGGTAGATATTTCCATATTATTAGATTGCAAGTTGTTTGGTTGAACTGCAGATAAGACTTTTGAAAATTACTTTATGGTCAAATAATTATGATGGATTATTGGTTTTAAGCCTTACAATCACATTACTTGTCCATTACATCTTTTATAAACTTTTCGCCCAATGTTACTGTCGGACTTTCTTATCCATGACTCTGATTGCATGGCGTTTTTTTCACCCTAAACAAGTGGAAGGTAAGAAAACAAAGGAAGGAAGAAAGAAATAGATGAAATATCGCGTTTAGTTCGCTGATTCGAGTTTTTAATTTGAGTTGAGATGTAATTTTATGTGAGAGCTTTTTACTGTAGCAAAAAATTTAGATGTGATTGTTTTTTAGAGCTTTTTACTGTAGCAAAATTTAAATTCTAAACTCGAATCGGTGAAATGAACGGGTAATATGTGGAGAGAATAATTAAAAGAGTATTTTATTTTGTTTATTTTTTTATCGGATTGGCGATTCGGAGTGTGGATTTATCATAATTAGGTCAAGCTTAAAACTACAACTCATAGTGTTTTTTAATACGATATTATGCTACGATAAAATATGACTTGTATTACTATTGCATTCTTTTTCCGTTGAAAAAGCTTTGTTTTTTTTCTTTTGAAGAATAAATAGTATAGTTAATATTGTAATATATAGGTGAGCAAGCACTTAAAACAAAGCAAATAAGTAACGCTTTCAGCCAAAAATAAAAAAGCTTCTATAACTCTTCATCCAGACCAATTTATCGTAAGCATTTAAAAAAACAAAATCGAAATGTTGGAGAAAAACATCATACTACTAGTTCACTTTGTAGATTTGAGTTGAAATGTGATATTTTTTGATAATTTTTAACTGTAGTAGAAAAAATTAAATGTAATATTTTCTGAAAATTTTTAACTGTAAAAACTTAAAACTGAAAACTCGAATCGATAAAATGAACTGCCCTAACATTTATACTTGACTTGAATTTTGGACAATTGACTCTTTTTTTTGTTTGTTGAAAAAATGCAAAAGTAAAACAATAGTCTTTAATTTGTGGACGAATCTCCTGCATTGAATATGGATTCTTCCCTCGCAGCCGTCATTTTTAGTGGACATAAATGTTCGGACGTAACTGTATATTTGGCAAGTTTAGATGGATCACAGATTGAAACAGAAAACAGAGTTTCATGCGGTTAACTTTTCTAGGGTTATCAAAAGATTTCCTTGGATGAATATAACTGTTTAATTCCATTTTAAGTAGGTATAACTGTAATCGTTGGAGATCTCTAATAACATACTGATTTACAAAACGACATTTAAATGATGGCAGTTGGTACTCACGATACAGATTACATTTCTCACACAACCCAATGATATCTACAATTTGATTTGTTTTTCATGGGTTTCAGTGAAAAACATAAGACATGCATTTCAATAAGAAGAGAGGATCGTAACATATATTATTATTTAAATAAAAATAAAATAATAAAATTTACGTGCTAAATAATTAATACAGAGAGAGACAGAAAAAGTGATGCTAAGAAAATAAAAACATCATTTTAGGAAAAAAAAAAAAATAATTGCAAGAACTTTAACCAACATTTTTTTTTTTTTTTGTAATAGCTCGAGACACATTTATTATCTGGATTTGTGCAGAGAACATACTACATGGAAAATGGCATACATATACAACTAATAATATCACCAAAACGGAGGGGTTAAGAAATTTGTCTCCTCAAGAGCAAATCTTCTTTTTTTTTTTTTTGAGTGTTACACGATCCTTTTCTTGCTCTGTTCACATATAATCTCAATTTCATCAAATTTTGTCGAATCCAATGACCCTGAGTTTGGCAACAAGATAATTTATCTAAAGAAAGAACTAATGTGATTTAACGTTAAAAAATATACAATAAGGTCTCATTCACTTTGTAGATTCGAGTTGAGATGTGACATTTTCTGAGAGCTTTTCACTATAATAAAAATGTTAGATGTGACATTTTTTGAAAATTTTTTACTGTAAAAATTTAAAACTGAAAACTCGAATCGGTGAAATAAACGAAGTCTAAGAATACAAAATACCTAGCAGAGAAGTTCCCAAACAGATGGGATGTATATAATTACACAGAATTCCAGTTCCATAGATGAATAGAGAGCAAAAAACCGTCCAAAATCGAAATCAAAAGAAAACAAGAAACCTCAATATAAAAATACTGCAATTTGTGCCAAGTTGCACTTCACTTCAATTAAACATGTATTGGAGCACGTGCTCCCACGCGTTGCAAAGCGCGTGGGACTCTCTATCGACAGCCCTAAACAAATATGATGACTAGGAAAAAAAAATTTTGATGACCGACGACTGACAATTACCGTACAGTCCACAGAAATTGGCTTGGTGCAATTCACCACCCCTGTCTAGAAAATTACAAATTGCACTATAATATTCCCATATAAATAATAAAATAGTTTTTAATTGAAATAATAAAATAGTTTTTTAATTGAAAATAATAAAATACTTAACTTTAGATGGAACAGTAATGCATATTAAAAAAAAAAGGACTATAACAAGAGACATGGGGACAAGCATTATAGAAATAATCATGTCCTTTTTCATTTTTTGTCCTTATTATATTACGTCATCATCTATATTTACTCAATTACCACTCCCGTCATTATTATATATATAAATTCTCTCTCCTACTCAAGTCCTAAATCATCAAAGCCAATTTCTTACTCTATTCTTTCTCCCCTCTCTGTCATTTTGGCAGCTCTGTTTTCACTGTTCTTCTGTTATATGTTTTTGCTCTGTTCTTGGGAAATTTAGAAAAAAGAAACGAAAAGAAAAGAAAAAAATCTGCTTGAAGGTTTGCTTTTGAGAAATGTATGCAGAGACGGGGCTTTTGTTCCCTTATTTTCAGAATTTCTCTCAAGAAGTTCAGCAATTTGAGGATTTGTGCAAAGCCCAGAAGTCCAATGCCTCGATGGTACTCTTTTTCTTTATCTTTTTTTCAATTAAATAGCTTTATAATATATAAATATGAAACTTGTGTCGATATTTGTACTACTTTCTTTGTTTTCTCTTCCTTTGCTTGTGGATTAGCTTGATTTGGATTAGTTTGATTGTTTCTGAGGTGGGTTTTAACTCATTTGCCAGAAAGTTAATGTTATGGATTTCTCTCTCTCAATGATCCTCATGATAAAATGGAGCAAAAAAGCTTGTTTTTATGATAAATTCAGAACAAAGTTGGGTTTTTTTTTGGGCAAGTTCAGTTTTTTTTTTGTTCCAAACCTCAAATTTCTTCATCATGGTTTTTTTTTTTTTTCATTTATTTTCAGAATAGAAAACAAAAAGGAAAGGATTTTTTTATTTTATTTTCTGCAGTAGTTTTCTCAAAGCACAAGCGGAAACAGCTGGAGTTGGCTTTTTATGCTGGATCTGGAAAAGGATAGAAAAGGCAAAAGAAAGTACATAAGTGGAAAAAAAACATTTTTTTTTTCTGGCATAGTTACGTGTTCCATAATCTTTCTTGCAGTTTCTTTTTGTATTTCTGATGTGAACTTGTAGTAGGGATTTTTGCCTTTTCCACCGCACTTACAGAAAATACTAAAGATGAATAAAGTTCTCTTTTCCTTTTCTTTAGGGCGTGGGGGGGAAAAAAGAGTTAAGAGGAAAGTGAAAATTAATTTTCCTTAATTAGATCCCATGGCGATTTCTTTGCTATTAAAAAGGTAAATTTTTGGGGAGGAGTGGAAAAGGAACAATCAGTTGTGACTTTCCATGGTTATACTTTTTCTCAAGCTGGGTGGTTTTCTGAATTAATGAGGTTGTTTCCTTCAGTGAATGTATTGGTGTTTTACATGGTTAAGGATATAACTTTAGTGGTGTTGCTTGGTACTAGTGAAAGTTACAGCTATAAAGATGTGCAATTTTGTAAGCTGTTACTATGCAACAATTTGAAGCAAAACTGAACAAGTTCTTGTGCTTGATTATTCTATCTTCCAGTTTTTTAGTGTAAATATTCTTCCATTTTTCTTAGTTTCACAAAGATAATTAATGCTTCATTTCTTAAACCGTGTTTTTTGTAGAGTGTTAAGGAAAGCCTTAAATATAAGGAGTTCTCTTATTTGATCACCAATAGTGCCTTTCATGGGACCCCTTAAGGGTGTTCTGTAAAAAAAAGGGACACGGCACCTGTAATATGGATGCATATTCACATTCTCTATTATTGGTTCTCTTGTGAATTTTCAAGAATTTTAGCTGCTTGTGTTTTGTCACAAATGATTGAATTTATGTGTGTATCCATTCGGGTTCTATAACTGCAATGTTAATGCTAAGAGTCACGACATTTTGTCTAACTATTGTCATTTTGTTGCTGTTCTTGATTTTGCCATTTTTTTTTTTTTTTTTTTTTTTTTTTTATTTTTGCTTGGGATTGACCCTAATATCTTTTCGGGACCTACATACTTTTTTTTTTTTTTTTTTGTTCAATTCAGAGAGACCTTATGCAGACTTCCATGATATCAGAATATGACATGGGAGGAGAAGGGGATTTGTTCAAGGCTCCAGAACCCATTATTGAAGAGCCAGTCATGAGCCTTGATCCGATGTCTGCGGCTATGTCCTTGATATCATGCGGTGAAGATGTCATCTCTCGCCAAGCGCTCAAGGTTGCAGACATTGAATCACTTCAAAAGGAGCAGCTTTTGAGCGAGGTTTTGTACGAGTGCGAGAAGGATCTCTTAGAACAGGCGGCGATGGAAGTGCCTCTTTCTGAAGTCCTAGAAATTAAGATTCCTTCTTTGAGGATTGATGGAAACCAAATCCAAGAGAACAAGCCGCTTTTTGATTTATCGTTCCAGAAAAGTGTTAGCTCGGAATGTTTAAGCTCAATGGACTGGATGCATGGACCTATGACAACGCCGAGTTTTCTGGAATTTCGTGGAATGGATTTGGGCGCTGCCTACGGGATGCGACGAGCATTCAGTGACGGGGACATCAAGGTCAGATTTGGTTATTCATATTTGTTTTCCAATATTGTGTATGAGATTAAATTAGAGAAATAGTCTTTGTGCTATTATTCAGGAAAAAATAGAAAACAATGATATCTTGAAATGGAAGAGTTTTTGGAGACATATAGAGAAATGTCTCTCTCTAAAATTGCAATGAAAGGATTTGCAAATTGAGCACCAAGCATGATATTGGCTTTTTAGTTAACTAAGTCTACGGACTAAGCAATGCTTAGATGTTTCTGGCCATTTCGACAGGATGGGGCTGAGTCATTGATTCTGAACTTTTGTCACAGACTCTTGGCAATGGTAGCATAAGCCTCATCCATTCTCCTCACGAGCGGCCGATGATCATCAGCAAAAGCATCTCCGAGGAACGCAAGGAAAAGCTTTCTAGATACAGGAATAAGAAGAATAAGAGGAACTTTGGAAGGAAGATCAAGGTAAAAATACTAATAAATTCTTCAATGTTTTGTCCTTTCTTATGTAAATGTGTTGTAAAAACTTGTAAACTGAGTTCAAATTGGCAACATTTTCATGCAGTCTTAGAAACTAAATGGCTTAATAGCCTAAATACACAATATAAACTTTTTACTTGTAACAAAGGCGACTCATTGACATTTCCGGTGTCTCAGATAAGCCCATTGAACCCGTTCCTCGCGAAGAAATTATATTTTGTTTCTTTCGTTTTCAGTATGCCTGCAGGAAGGCTCTTGCTGACAGCCAACCAAGGATCCGCGGAAGGTTTGCGAGGACCGAAGAATCCGACTGCAAGAGGCTATAACTTTGACTTACCATAGTAAGAAGAAGCCTAGGAATGAAGTAGCTAGATCCGACGATGTTGCTCAACAAATTCCCAACTTCTGCAAAGTAGTAGATCTCTTATTGCTGTAATAACTAATAACCTCCTCTGTAGACAGACCTACATGGCCTTGTAGAGTTGTAAATAGGGTATGCTAAATAAAAGGGGAGGCAAACTAAGTGTTACTTGTTCATATAATATGTTATGAAATGTAATATTTTGAGCCATTATTTCGCTTTAAATATATATATATATATATATATATATATATATATATTGCCTTGTTTGTTTGGTTTTCACATTATCAATCACGTTGGCCCAAGCTAGAGGAAGCCCGTGACCATTTCTTATGGATAATATCGCCCACAACACACCATAATTTTATTCCTTTTACAGCCACAAAGTCCCTTCTCTGGTTCAATTCTACAGAGAACAGATACTAGTAATCCCATCTTATATCCATTTTGTTCCTTCGCGTGGCTTTTCTTGCCTTTTGGCGAATGCAACATAAACCGAAAAAGAGCCCACTGTCGTCGGGTTAATTTCAATAATAGCATTCATAAATAAATTATTATTAATTTTAGAACCATTTTTGTATACTTTCACAACTAGCATTGTCATGTTAACAGTGTGAGGTAAAATAATTTCTATGTCACTTAGGTCAAAATTATCATTTAAAAGCACCTCAAACAGACTCTCAACTCTCTCTCACCCATTCTCTCTCTCTCTACACCCAATTTTTTTTTTTCTCTCTCTCTCTCTACTCGGTCTCTCTCTTCCCTACGCCCTCATTTTCTCGTCGTTAATACTCTGGTTGTGCACCAGATCGAGGTTGGTACACAATTTTTTTTTGTTTTTTTTTTGTTTTTTTCTTCTTAAATTTATTTTTCTGAAACTTAGTACATAGAACTCAAAAAAAAATGACTAGGTTGAACTTAATGTGATAGGAATTGATACTATCCTTCGTCAATTTGAGATTTTAGATGATTTATAATTGATATGTAAACTGATTGTAACGACCACCACGTCAAAGACATAGTTGACCTTGGGAGTCATTGTATTGTGATTCATAGTTTTATATATCCGGTCATAATACTATGAATAACCAATCAATCATAACAGTACGAGTCATTGTCTATGAGCCATTATACCAAGCAGTCATAATGATATGACCGGCCATCAAACAGAGGCACATACCAAATAAAGAGTATAATGACAATCCAATGACCCCAAAAAATTTCAAATAACTGACCTTATTTGCTTTTAACTCCTCCTCTAAAGTCTTTCTTTTCTTCTAAGATGACAAAAAATGGTAAAAGAAATAAAAAAAATAAATACCTAAGAAAAAAAAACAAAAAAATAAGAAAAACCAACAAAGTTTTCACCTTCGTCTCAGAATCCGTCATTGACATTGTCTGTTTCGTGGCTGTTTTCTCCGGCGAAGAGGGTGAGATTTTCTTAGTTCGTTTTTCTCCGACGAAGAGGTTTAGGTGTTGATTTCTCCGGCGAAGGTTCGTCAGTTCTCGTCGCGTGATTGCGTGAGTTCTCACTGTCGTGAGTTCGTCGGTGCTCAAGGTGGTAGACGGTGGGGTTTCTTGGTCTCTGTGCACGCCTGCGTTCGTTCTCCTCCTCTCTCTCTACTTTGAATATTTGAATTATAAAAGGCTTCATAATATATATTCAAGGTTTTAAAACTGAAATGGGGCACAATTGTCATTTTAATTCAAGTAAAAATAAATATGATTCCATGATGTTAATTATAAAAGTATATAAAAATAATACTAAAATTAATAATCATTTATTAGAAGTTTTATTATTGAAATTAACCCCCACTGTCGTCTCTATACAAAAAATTTGAATGAACTGTGCGAATTGTGATGAATGATAAGTCTCGGTCTCTCCCGACGACAAAGACAATAATAATAAATATACTAGTGAAACCTTGTAAATATCACAACTCATGTAAACTCGCCGTCCTGCCCTTGGATGAGCCGAGATATGGAACAAGATCAAAATAGAAAACCATTCACAATTTCATTAATCCCTCCTGTAAAAAACACAACAATTTCATCTATTACACTAACCCACATCATAAATGAACCACCGAGACAATTTAATAGTACCGTGATGGCCAGAACTCAAAAAGATATGGCCGACCCAACACACATTCTGTGCCATATTAAACAACCCATCTTTTTTTTTTCTTCCTCTCTCTCTCCTCTCTCTCTCTCATCATCTACCATCTCATTTTGCTCACGTTGTTGAAGCACACCACCATCTTCACCGCTCGCTACTTTTATAGGATTCTTGTAGTCTAAGCACGTTATAATCGCAAAACTAGTAAATGGCAATGACAATGACAGATAATAGTGACGGTTTTATATCTTCCAAGTTTCAGGCTTTCAAACCAAATAAATTATGTTCTGAAAATCTTTTACCACGTGATAACATGCCCGTTTCGGTTTAAGATGTGTCATTCCCATTTTACCAGAAAAAGAAAGTCTCTTGTTTTTTTTTTTTTTTTTTTTTTTTTGGTTGCTAATTTTTGGTAGCTAATATTTTTCTTCTTGTTGAACGAACCTATCAAAACCCATTTCAACGGTTTGACCTCCACCAAACCCATCTACCAGAAACAAACATCCACCCAAAACTTTTTTTTTTATAATCCTTCAAGTTTTATGTCTCTTGAAAATCAGGCCCGTAAGAAATAATCCTTCGCAAGCATAACCCCCACAAATAATTTAAAAAAAAAAAAAAGAAAATATTCGGTTCTAACATGTGCCAATAATTGCCATCACCTTCGATCGAACTCGCAGCACAGGAGGACATTATCTGCGATCAATTTTAAAAACCCATTTTTATAAATCATATAATACCAATTAAAAAAGATTTAACTTTTTCAAAAGGTAATCTTCAATTTATTTTCAGCAGACTTCGAATTGTTACGTAAAATACGATTGCAGGAAAAAAAAAAAAAAAAAACGTTACAATTCAAGGAAAACTAATGTTGAAAAATTTTCACAGATTTATTAAAAGCAACGGAGAGCGACCGCCGAGAATCGGTTCCCTATATTCCCTTATCCAAGATCCAAGATCAAAGCTGTTTGGGCTTTTTATTTTTTATTTTTTGGTTTTCTAAAAAATGAAATATATAACGAAAAATTTCAGATTTCCATAACAGATTTTTCTTTTTTCTTTTGAGGTTGAAGATAATTACTTTGATCTGCTGACACTTTCAACTAGTTTCCATGGGCTCGTGCGAAAGTACCAAAATGCCCCTCCAAAAACTTGGGGGGAAAATTCACGAATTTAATTGGGGAAGCCTAACCCAAGCACCACCTTTATTACGTCATACCGTTGTTTTCCCGTCCATGAACCAGTGACCACCAACAGACTCTCCCACGTAAAAAGAAAACACCCAAAAAAAAAATCAAAGCTTTCATTCATTTTTGCCGGCGTTTGCTCTGAAACCTTTCCAATTTGCAGAAAATTGTACACAACATTCCTTGCACCAAAACCCCACCAAAAATTCGCAACTTTTGCAGTCCAAAACTTATATGTAGTAGCGTGGTTGACAAATTAAGTTCCAATTCAATAACAATTGCACCTATAATCTAGAGTGCATGACACATTTTTGAGTTCCGAATTTCTTGGAACTGACTGATTCTATTTATTTTTCAGTGCCCACATAAAAAGGTACCAAAATTGACATAATAAGAAAGAAAAACACACAAAAAAAGTCGCAAAACCAGCCCAATGGCTTTGCCATTACATAGCACCATACCAGAACCAAGCTCATGACCGGGGCTGAAGATTTTGCGCTCCCAACACGTAATGCGCAAGTTAGCCTCAATCCCTCTCTCTCTCATCTAGTATAACACTTTTACAAGGTAACGCCGACCTTTCTCTTTCTCTCTCCTGAACTCTGTCACCACTCACCCGCCCTATACAACACCACCCTCTCTCTCTCTCTCTCTCTCTCTCTAGAATTTTGCGAAAAAGAAAGCTTTCCATTCCAAAACTCAAAATTTTCACTATTTCCGTGATTAAATTGGGATTTTGGTCTAATAAATTAAGTTTCTTATTCTTCCCTCTCTCTTTTTGCTCGCTGAGGCAGTTAGAGAGAAACTCCGCTTTGAAACAGATCCCTATTTCTCTCTCTAACTCTTCTCTCTCCAATTCGATCCTTTTCTTCGTCAAATTCTCAGGCATTCTCTTCTCCGAAGTCTCTTTCTTCGTCGGAATTTCTTTCTCCGGTGCTAGTTTGCGGAATTCTCTCCGACGCTTGTTGTCTTCTCGATTGCTCTGTTTCTTGGAATCTCTCGAAAATTAGGGTTTATGATGCGTGTACGGAGAATTGGGGTTTTGATGTGAAAAATTGAGACTGCTTGTGGGAAGAAGGGGAAGAAGTTTTTTTGGGATTTGAGGATTCGCGTTGCGGTTTTTCTGAATCTCCGACACGATGATAATCAAACGGAATTTGAAATCCCAAATGCCGCGTCTGAAGAGATGCAAGCCCGGGGATTCGGCCGGTGACGACGACGAGGGCTCCGCGAGGAAGAAGAGGAAAACGAATGGTTATTACCCTCTCAATCTGCTTGGCGAGGTCGCGGCGGGGATTATCCCCGTCAGCCTCCATGGCTTGGTTCTGAGCTCCGTCGCCGCCGAGAAGGGATTCTGTGCTTCGTGGTGCACCGAGGTCTCGTTCTCCCCCGCGGTGGAGGAGATGAAGTCAAACGGCCGAGATTCGACGGCTGAGAAGATCAATGGCAAGGTTGAGGTTCAAAGGCCACCTCTCGTGAGGACTTCGAGGGGTCGAGTTCAGGTTTTGCCTTCTCGCTTTAATGATTCTGTAATTGAGAATTGGAGGAAAGAAAGTAAGACTAGTTTGCGTGATTATAGTTTCGATGAGGAGATTGAGTGTAAGAAGGAGAAATTTAGCTTTAGGACACCGAAAACTTGTAGTCAGAATGCGAAAAAGACGAAGAACGTCGATAGGAATGGATTTAAGTCCATGAAGTATACTGCATTGTGCGAGGACGAGGATGGGGAAGTGGAAAAGTACACGGCTGTGAAGAATTTTTACATGAAGAAGTATTCGAGTTCCCGGAGTTCGCTTACTTCAGTACACGAGCAAGTGGTTGATGAAGAGACGTTCGCAATGGAGGGACAAGCTGACTTGGCTTCCGCGGAGAGGTTTCGGAAAGAGGGTAGTGAGAGGACTGATGGGTTTTATGGACCTGAAGACTTTTATTCGGGTGATATAGTGTGGGCAAAACCAGGGAAGAAGGAGCCCTTTTGGCCTGCCATTGTCATCGACCCGATGTCGCAAGCGCCTGAGCTAGTTTTGAGGGCTTGCATTGCCGATGCTGCTTGTGTGATGTTTTTTGGATACTCTGGAAACCAAAACCAAAGGGTATGGATTGGTTCCGATGTTGAGTTTTAATTTAAGTCATGGATTGTGTTATTAAATGCTATAATTGTCTTTATTGATTAACGTTTGTCATTTATTGTGGTACTTCAATGATATTGAGCAGGATTATGCGTGGGTTAGACGGGGAAACATTTTTCCATTTATGGATTATGTAGACAGGTGTGCATTTTAGTGGTTTTATTTTGGACAGTTATTCGAATTTTAATCTAGAAACGTCTTTGTTTCTGAGGCAATACTTTGCGTGGCATAGGTTCCAGGGGCAGTCTGGAGTAAATGATTGTGCACCCTGTGATTTTCAAATGGCGATTGAAGAGGCGTTTTTGGCAGAACAAGGATTTACGGAGAAACTGATTGCAGATATAAACATGGCTGCTGGGAATGCAACTTATGATGAATCTATTCTTAGGGGATTTCAAGAAGTTACTGGTTCAAACCAGGATCAGGCAAGTTGTCTGGAGTATCGTGCTTTTTAATTTTGAGTAATGGATTGAATGTAATGTTGACTGCAGTATTTGACAAATGTCACGTAAAAGGTTATCCACATTGCATTATCTTCGCCGTCGACTAATTATTATTCCAGGTTTTCTTTATGCTTGAATGTAAACAATCTGAGAATATATTTACTGTGCGGCTGGAGTTGATGAAGCGTCTTGTCTTAATTAACAATTTAACATCATTATTTGGCTGCAGAAGATTTACAAATCACAATTTGTCTGAGTTCTCTGAGTAACCTGTAGGAGATGAGGATATTCCTTTGATTAGAAAAAAATGTCTGTTTTTTCCTAAGACCACTTGGTCTGGTGGCATGGGGGCATTTGGGTGGGATGGGGTTTGGGGGAAGATTACGGGTTTTGATCCCGTGTTGTATATATATATGTTTTTCAATCCTCGTTGTTTAATTGAATTAGGGTCCTGTATGCAGGATCTATTTGATAAGAAGAAAGACACTCGGCCCTGTGAAGGATGTGGCTCAATTCTACCTCTTAAAATGACAAAGAAAATGAAGGTTTCAACTCCATCAGAACAGTTTTTGTGCAGAACATGTGCAAGGGTTCGTATGATGCCTTGCTCTGTGTCTTTCTTATTTTCTGTGTGCCATTTGTTTTCTGTAATAACTTTGGGCTTGCAAGTTTTGTTGCAATGTTCGTACTAAACGAATTCTTAGTGCAGTTAATAAAATCAAACCACTTTTGTGGCATATGCAAGAAAATCTGGAATCACGCGGACAGTGGAAGTTGGGTAAGAGAGCTCTACAAACTCTTTGTAAATGACGGCTAGTTATTATTGTTGTTTTGTTATTCTGGTTATTATTTTTGAAAACATTCCTCTTTTAACAGGTTCGATGTGATGGTTGTAAAGTATGGGTTCATGCGGAGTGCGACAAAATTTCCAGCAACCTCTTTAAGGTCTCTTGATCAAACTATATATATGATGAAGTTGTTCTTTTCTATTTGCTTAATGGGAAACGAGACATTGCACACTTCAATGACAAAGTTGTTCTCTTTTTTTTTTTTTTTTTTGAAGAATTTGGGCGGCACTGACTATTACTGCCCAACTTGCAAAGCGAAGTTCAATTTCGAGTTATCAGATTCAGAAAAGGGACAACCAAGAGTCAAGTATGTCTGTGGAGCCCCATTTAATGTTTTTTAATTAGAAAATTTGGACTTATTTTCCTTTTATTGCATGATTGTTATTATTGTTGTAGTTTATTTTCTTGATACAGGTTGCATTTCCTAATTGAATGGATGTGCTCTTTCCCCTCCTTATATCTAACAAATATTGAGTTTCTTGATGCAGATGGAACAAAAGTCATGGTCAATTGGTGCTGCCTAACAAGGTTACAGTTGTTTGCAATGGTGTGGAAGGCACATATTTTCCAAGCCTTCACTTGTAAGCTTTAGTGGCTCAAATTTAACTGTCTTTTCCGGCAATCTTATCTGTTGGGACAAACAAATTTATGATTATTATTTGGGCTATTTTCCTTCTTTTCTTATTTCTCAAGTATTCTAAAGAAGAAATTTTGTGGAAAAGAATCGTTAGCCACTGACATTTGTCAATGCTTCTTCATACTGGTGTAGTTTTATTATGGCTATGATCTGTGTATCTGAATTTTACATTTTTATTTGTTTATAAAGTTCTACAATCCTCTCATTTTTTTTTTCTTTTCATCCCAGAGTTGTCTGCAAATGTGGGTTTTGCGGCTCTGAAAAGCAAGCACTTAGTGAATGGGAGCGACACACAGGTTCCAAATCGAGAAACTGGAAGACAAGTGTTAGGGTGAAAGGTTCTATGCTGCCACTGGAACAATGGGTTTGTACTCTACTTCATTTTTTTTCAAACTATTCTGGGAGTATTGATTTTTTCTAATATGAAACATGTGTTTCTTTGACATGGTGATGAGAATTTTCAATGTGGAAAGCAAATTATGTATTGGGTTCATAGCTACTGATGTATCACGGATGAAACTCTAGTTTAATGGAATCTCGTTTCACGTTGTAGATGTTGCAGTTGGCAGAGTATCACGAAAGTGCTCTTGTGTCTGCAAAGCCTGCTAAAAGGCCTTCTATGAAAGAACGAAAGCAGAAATTGCTTGCCTTTTTGCAAGGTGAGTTGTTTTTATTGTCATTTTTTATGAGTCATGTATAAATCATTTATTATTTGAATTTTTTTCCAGTAATTATCTGACCTGGTGAGAGCTAACTGCATTCTTATACTTGCTATGACAGAGAAGTATGAACCTGTTTATGCTAAGTGGACCACAGAACGATGTGCTGTATGTAGATGGGTTGAAGATTGGGATTACAACAAGATCATCATCTGCAACAGGTACTATCATGTGGGCAACTGTCTGAGATTTATTGCCTTAGTATAACAATGATAATCCAGCAGGACCAATAGTCGTATTCCACTTATTACCAAATGCGTGAAAAGGAATAAATGTTGCGGAATTTGAACTGTATTTAGGCACGTTCTGGATGTTTAGGAATATTGCTCAACATAGCTGCATCCCTACATCCTTAGAGGTTGTTGATTGCTAGTGGTTTTGTATGGAACTTACAGAGTGCTTACTTTTTCTATCAGATGCCAAATAGCTGTTCATCAAGAATGCTATGGGGCAAGAAACGTTCGGGATTTCACTTCATGGGTTTGCAAAGCATGTGAAACACCTGAAATCAAGAGAGAATGTTGCCTCTGTCCTGTTAAAGGCAAGTCCTTAAGATTTTTTTTTTTTGGGCAATTTTTCATTATGAAAAAAGGTTAAGTTTTGTTTTTCATACATACTTGTCTCCTATGGTCTTCGTCATCCAATTATGAAATCAGACATAATGCACAACTTCTCTCAGTTTATGTGATGTTCCGCTTTTCGTAAAGTTTGGTCAATTAGTAATGCGGGTGTTATTATAAGAATGATTATTCATACAATGGCAACCTTCCTCCGGTTAAAGATGACTTTATAACTCCTCGTCTAAACTTCTTTACTCTTTAGTTTTCACTGGTCATTAATTTATGATGGATTTTTTCCCCCGATAACCAATTTTGGTTTCATTTTGCTATTATAAGTTGATGTATTTTATTTTATGTTTGCTGCAGGAGGTGCTTTAAAGCCAACTGATATTGAGGCATTGTGGGTTCATGTTACATGTGCTTGGTTCAGGCCTGAAGTCGCTTTTGCAAGTGACGAAAAGATGGAGCCTGCTCTTGGGATCCTGAGTATTCCATCTAATTCTTTTGTTAAGGTGGATTCTTTGCTTTAGTCAGTACAACCTTATAGCTGTTTTAATTCAGTTTGATTCATGGAAACTTTTTGATTAGATCCACACAATATTTCTTGAGGATAACCATTCTTTATCTTTTGAATAACATGTTTGCCAACTCCCAATCTGTTAATTTTCTTGGTAGTCAATAAACTATTATATCTACTGGAAATCTAATTTAGTATTCGTAGTCTTGTTGAACACCTGTAGAATATTTAGCTGATGCAGTATTAAGGGGGGCTTTTTTTGTGACCTTCAGATTTGTGTTATTTGCAAGCAAATTCATGGCTCATGCATGCAATGTTGCAAGTGTTCCACTTATTACCACGCGATGTGTGCATCAAGGGCAGGGTATCGCATGGAGGTTAGATCCTAGACACCGTCTTTTAGTGCTTTATGCTGTTCAAAATTATAGTAATTCATCTCTTTTTTCACCCAGAAAAAGTGATTTATGCTTGACTTTTATTGCAGCTACACTGCTCGGAAAAGAATGGCAGGCAAATCACGAAAATGATTTCTTATTGTGCTTATCACAGGTTTGTAATTATGATTTTTTTGACGAGTCTCTCTTGTTTTTGCTTTGCTGGTTGTGTTGCAAATATAAAGTAATTTTGTTCCTTCACAAAACATGAAGCAATGGTTTCATTTTTGGTGCAGGGCCCCAAATCCAGATACTGTCTTAATTATACAGACTCCTCTAGGTGTCTTCTCAGCAAAAAACCTTCTCCAAAATAAGAAGAGGGCCGGTTCAAGGTTAATTTCATCAAATAGAACAAAAGCAGAAGAGGTTCCAACTGTTGAAACTACTGAGCACGAGCCATTATCTGCTGCAAGGTGCCGGGTATTCAAGAGATCAAACAATAACAAGCAGGTAACTTGCTTTGATTTTTATTTCCTTATATGTTTTTCTTTCTCTGCTTTCATTTTTATTCCTTCTTTGGCGCCTAAGTATGCGTCTCAACCTTCCTCTTCCTCTCATTCTTCTCCTCTCGTCTTTTGGGAGCTGAATAGTTAGTTGAACAATGTGAATTTGTCATTTAGGTAATATAGAATTAAAGCAAGACCACTAACGAGAAAATATATGCAAAAGCAACTAGTCCTTGTCAAATTGGTGAATGCTTTAAATAATTTTCAGGTGAAATTGGTGGGGGATCAGGACTTCTGTCTCTTACATACACTACCAATCACCTGGTAACGTGTGAGATAATAAGCTAGTAACAAATTACTAATACGTAATTCTAAATTATATAAAACAATATTCATAATCACAAACACTATTGTTTGTTTACTTATGCATCTACCACCACTAATTGGATAGCAAAATATGTTTGTGAAGCAGCATTTAAGTAGGCAAGTTCTTTTTATTGTTTCTTGTATGTTGGATCAAGAAAACACATTTAAGTGCAGGCTTCAGTTCTATTTCACGTAATACATGTTTGGGCTTTGATGATTCCTTATATTTTGATTATGCACATTCTTCTTCATCACTCGTGACTTTTCTGGTTGATAGAGAATGCAAGAAGAAACCGTTACTCACCGAGTGAAAGGACATTCCCATCATCCCTTGGGAGACATAGAAAACTTGAACGCTTTCATGGTAAACATTCTTCAACTTTGTAAAATTCTTTCGCAAATATAGTAATTTGATCATAACCTCAAGGTGACACACTGTCGTTTCTTTTTCAGCAGGTTGCTGAGGAACCAAAATCCTTTTCTTCTTTCAGAGAACGGCTTTACCACTTACAGGCACAATCTTAATCCTTTTCTATTCTCTATAATTGACTTTCTGGAATTGATTTTGACTGGTATTTGTGTTTATTGGACTCCAGAGAACCGAAAACAATCGTGTTTGCTTTGGTAGATCTGGCATACATGGCTGGGGTCTCTTCGCACGTAAAAATATTCAAGAAGGAGATATGGTAAAAAAAAATAGCCTTTTTACTTGATCTTTTGATTTTGGGTCACTCTTCAGTTATGTGGCCTCGGGAAATATTCTGGCTTTCGACAAGGAATGAGAAGCATATATTGTTATACACAGGTTCTTGAATATCGTGGAGAGCAGGTGAGGCGTAGTATTGCAGATCTTAGGGAAGCACGTTACAGATCGGAAGGCAAAGACTGCTATGTAAGTTACTCTCTTTTCTCCACTGATTTGTTATGAATGATATAGAAGATATAATTTGTGTTACTTTCTACTTTCCTTCTTATTACCTAGAAGCTAAGCTAATGCGATCTTTCTGTTTTTATTATTATATATATATATATATTTTTTTTTTTTTTTTTTGTTGGGCAGCTCTTTAAGATCAGTGAAGAGGTAGTGGTGGATGCTACTGATAAAGGGAACATAGCACGCTTAATCAATCATTCGGTAAGTAAAGATTATAATTAATGTTAGAAGTTATTTTTGGGATATTGTGATCTCCATAATCCTTTTAACATTGACAAAGTTTCCTTCCTATTCAATCTCTTTTGTCCTTGTCCAACTTTGATATATAGTGCATGCCCAATTGCTACGCGAGGATCATGAGTGTTGGTGATGATGAGAGCCGTATTGTACTTATTGCTAAGACCAACGTAGCTGCTGGTGACGAGCTAACGTAATCTCTCTCTCTCTCTCTCCCCGTCCTTTGTTTGCCTTGTAGATAATCAGCTATTCTTAATTGGGTCTTATTCTTTATTTTCATTTTTATTTTTGGCTTTTATAGGTATGACTACTTATTTGATCCTGACGAACCCGAAGAATTCAAAGTCCCTTGTTTGTGTAAAGCTCCAAACTGCCGACAGTTCATGAATTAGGATACAACAATTGCACAGCCATTGTTTCTCCGTAAGGAACACTAACCCATTCCCTCTTTCGTAGGATCTCACAGTTCTTATACCCAAAAATTGTAATTTTGTCGAGGAAAAAGGAAAGGTAAAAAAAAAAAAAAAGGGGGGGAGAGTGTTAATTCTTTTTTTTTTTTTCCCCCGCTGTAATTTTGTTCGGACAAACCTTTCAAAGCTTAATAAAAGCTATAAAAATTTGCGAGCTTTTTGGCTCTTGGCATTTGTGTGTAATTGTCTGCTAACTTCTCCACGTTCTTAATCTATTGCTAATGTTTTTGAGGTCACTGCTTAATGGAAGAAATGATACTGCGTTTTACCTCTCGTGTGTACTTTTAACACCGACTTACACCCTTGTATAAAATGAGAGATAAGGAAACCATACTTTGATGCGTTTATTCTTTTCTTTTTTTTTTTTTTTTTTTTTTTTTTCTTTTTTTTTTTTTTTCTTTTTTTTTTTTTTTCTTTTTTTTTTTTTTTCTTTTTTTTTTTTTTTCTTTTTTTTTTTTTTTCTTTTTTTTTTTTTTTAAAATTTTTTCCCCGGTTTTTTTTTTTTTTTTTTTTTTTTTTTTTTTTTTTTTTTGAGAATGATTTACCAGGTTATTTGTTCATTCATTCATTTATTTATTTTTGAATGTTGCCGAGTTGGTTTTGGTCTTTAGTGCTTTCGTTGCTTAATTTTTCATGTCATTTTTCATTTTTACAAGCTGTCGTTTCCTTATGTTATTGTCGTTTATAATTTCAATTTTGTTTGTTGATGTTTTTGCCGTTTTCGAAGGTCATTTTGCTGCTCTACTAAATCGTGTCGGTGTAGGATTTACTATGTCGTTTTCAGGTTCACGTCGGTGTACCCCTGAAAAAAGGTAGTCCTTTTCCAATGCTATTTTATGTCGTTTTCAGGTTCATGTCGGAGTTCCCCTCAAAAAAGTAGTCGTTTTCAATGCTGTTGCCGTTTTCGTTCAATAGTGTTGTCGTTTGATACTCGTGTTGACGATGTCGGTTTTGGTTTTTTGTCTTTCTTTCTAATGTCATTCTTCTCTTTTTATTTATTTTTTTGGGCACAATCTTATTGTCGATCTGATTGATGATGTCGTTTTTTCTTTGTTGTCTTACATAGATGTTGTGGTTAGGCCGTTCTTCGATTTTGTTTTCCCAGGTTACTATCCCTTACCTAAATGTTGTTTCTTGTTGCTGTCGACTGTTATTGACTTAAGCTGACGTCCTTTTATTTAATTAATATAATTTGTTTTATGCCAGTTTGTTATTTTAGTTATTTATGTCGTTTCATTATGCCATAACGACATATAGACGATAGATTTGTGTGCTCATCATTTCTCAGTAGATGTAGTTTTCTGTTTATGTCGGTTTTAGACTATCATTGTTCTCCCAGGTTGTTGTCTCTCCCTCAAAGGAAAACGCTCTGTATTTTTGTCGTAAGTAATTGTTCTTTCTACAACAACATTTAGTATATGTCGTCTACAAAAGTAATTTTTCTTTCTCAAATGTTGTTTCCGTGTTTTTGTATTTCTTCGAAAATGTCGTCTTTAGTTTCATGTCGTTTCATATGTTCGTTGACTCATCTGCTGTCGTTTCAAAAGTTCGCTTACTAACTTATGTCGTTTTGTCGTTTAAAAATGTTCTTTGACTGTCCCTTTTTTTTTTTTTTTTTTTTTTTTTTTTTTTTTTGGGAATTTGGTTTTTTTTTTTTATTCCTTTTTTTTTTTTTTTATATTTTTTTTGAGGTAATTGTGATTTTATACTTTAATGCCTTTTTTTTTTTGAGGTCATTATTATTTTTTCTTTGAGGTTCTTTGAAAGTCCATCTTTTTATTTTTTAATCTTTTTTTATATTTTTCTTGAGGTCATTGTGATTTTATGCAACAAAAGCTTATTGTACTACAGAAACAGAAACAAAAACAGAGAGTTTATATGTTGCCCATCTTATCAAACTAGTTCGGCTATGGGTTTTCTAGAATCTAGTCTCGCTTGTTGAAAACTTTATAGAAAAGAAAAGCAAAGGAAAAAAAAAAAAGACATGAATAAAAATAATTGTGTAAGCAGACTCAATGTTAGCACTTGGAAGGACATTCAAGAGTTTCTTTCAATGGAGGGTAAATGTGAGTGTTTGATCATAA